AGTGTTGGCTTTGAAAAGTGACTAAAATGGAAAAAAAGTGACTAAAATATTTTCCTTACATAAGCAATGTTAAATAAAAGAGAAACGAAATGAAATGAAGGAAAGGAAAGCGGAGAGGAGGGGAGAAGAGGGGATGGGAGGGAAGAGAAGGGGGGGAAGGGAATGAAAAGGCACGAGACCCTAAACGCTGAAATGGACACGAGCTCTTTCACAGCACGGCACTGCAACCGCCTCACCTTGGTGGGTCAACCCCATCCTCTGCTTTCCCTACTGAAGGTAAAAGGCTTTGTGAAAACCAAAGAATGTAAAAAAGACTGACAGACAGACGGGTCTCCCCTTCAAGTTCACCGTTCCAGCAGCATGTTTATGAGCCCCCAAAACAAATTTCGTAAGTATCTCCTCAGGACCTGTGGGCCCAGGCACGGTGCTAGCGAGCAGAACGATCAGACCCCGGCCCACGGGAGTCCGGCTGGCAGAAAGACAAACACGGACAAGCACAGTCACAGAACCCGAGCTTCTGTCTTTTAATTTAGGTCACGATGCTCAGGTGGCACATCAGCCACACTGTGCTGACCTGCTCTGGCCCTGGAGACCAGCACGTGAACCAGGCACAAGCTCTGGACTTCGGGCTGCCGTTCCGATCATCAGTATGTGCTCATCACAGTTGTTCAAAGAATGCTTTATCAATATTCTAAGCATCGAACATCAAACACAGGGATTTCCAGGGATCTGGCGTGAGATGCTTTTGTTTACTAGCAGGAAAAGGGGAAATGCACAGGCTGCAGCTGTTTTTGAACAGTTCTGTCCAGTGCAGCTGGTGCGTCCTTCTCGTGACTCGGGACAAAGTTTGCTTCCTGGGACACCAGACAGAGAAGTGAAAAGGCAGCTCTTCCTGCCACCTTTACACTTTCCCTTCTACCCACATCCCCAGGCACCCAGAGATGCAGCTGCTTCTCCCTCACGCCCACCACCAACGAGGAGAGAGGCCAAGAGGAAGGAAGTGGCCCAAGGGCTCTGGAGGGTTCAGGGGCCTCGCCTTCATCCCGCTGCTCAGAGGTGAGGCCACAAGTGACGGACTCAGTCGGGATTTGGAGTCAGGAGGTCCCCACACCCCATGAAGTAACTAACTCACACGGACGTCGGGCTTCTCTGCTCCCATCACCAGGAGTGGAAATGGTTCTAAAACACTAAACAGACAAGTAGATGAGTAAACGTTGTATACAGCACATACAAGAATGATAGGCATCTGAACAAACATGACAGACCACCAGACACGCAGCCTGGCCAGCAGAGTACTGTCGGATTGAAAAAGTCAACATACAAATTGTGGTATCCAAGTTCTCTTGAAATACTGATCAGGCCACAGTGGGTGTGCAATCCCAAGTAGAATCCGACAGACGCTGCCCTGTTCCTAAGTCTTGTCCCTGGTCACCGCAGCCCCGCCCTCCAGGAGACCTGCACACAGCAGCCCACCACCAGTTCACAGCACCGATCTGGTGGCCGTGTGACAAGCTCTGTCCTAAGCACATTTTCACACCCCACACTCCAGCGAACAAAAACTCACGTGGCACAGATCTAGGATAAGTAAATGGTAAGGGTTTTGAGACTTGCATCTGCGCTCCCTTACTCGAACTAGTACCCAAGCCCCGACACAGAAGCAGTAGCTCAGGACCCGCGGGCAGCAGGAAGGAGGGGGGGGGAGGGCACAGGAACCGGGCATTCGTGTGGAAGGAGTGAAAGCATGCCACAGCCTGTCACACCCCGTTGCGGGCACAGTGTCAGCTGCTACTCTCATTCTTGTGACCGCAGTCCCACCAAAGAGCAGGACCAAGGCCCGAATCCCTCCATCTTGTGCATCACTGTTTGTTTCCAGTGGGCTTTCACCAAATACCGAGACATTACGCAACACAAATCTGAACCTCTGGCCCGTCACCCCATCTGGTTAGCTGTTCTCTCTGCTCCCCACAAGTCAGTGCAGAGCACAGTATTTCCCCTTAGCAGTTCCAGAGAAAAGGGAATCGAGGAGAGTGAAGTTCAAAGTTCCCAAACAGACCTGAGTAAAGAGGACATGTAACCAAGGGTGCAGACAACCTAAACACAACTTCAGCAAAAGCAAACCTCAAACTCATTGCAACTGCAGCACTTGGACCTTTCTATTATCTATCATGTTGCCTAAGTCCTAACAAACTGTAAAACCAAAAAGGGGAGGTCCATTTTAAGGAAGCGAGATGTGTTTCTGAATACTAACCATACCACATTATGTAACTCCTCATTGGAGCACTGTAACTTCCAATATAACACTACATTGGTTCTTCTGATACAATCCTAATATTATTGTTTGACAATAACAATCTGAAACATATTTACACAGTGCCTCACAATTCTGAAAGTGCTGGTGTCTCCTTAGAGACAGACAGGTCAAGTGCTCTGTGCCGATTAACAAGTGAGGGCACGGGGCCCAGAGCCCAGCAGCAACCTGCTCACGGTCACAGTGCTGAGCAGAGTCAGCGCAGCTCTGCAGCTCACACACGAATTCCAGAGGCACATCAAGTGACCCAGAAGAAATCAGCACACCCTGCACAGAGTCAGCAGAGAGATGAAACATTGTCACTTGCACACATATACATACACACACAGATACACAAGTAGATACCGATGCCATATTGTAAAAAAAAAAATTTAATGTTAAATATTTCAAAAGACTCCACCCAGTTATTCTTTCCAGCCAATTATTAAGAAAGGTGACCAGTCTGCATTACAGGTTAACATGTAGTTTTTCTCTTACTCACAAAACAGCATAGTAACCACAAAAAAGCCACTCATTCACATCACATCCTCCCAGAGCTGAGTCAACATGCAATAATCACTCCTAAAGGGCAACTGGGCAACACCGACGTCCTGCCAGCGAAGTGCGTTTGTGACTGGCGCATCCAGAACGCAGCCCTGAGCACATGGCGCCCTCTAGTGGCACATGCCTGCCACTTTCCGGGTGAAGTCCCTCAGGCAGAGGAAGCTTAGCGTGGGGATCTCCCAACACTTCTCACATGCAGCCCAATATTTTTTAAGTAAATATTTTCAGTATACACATATTTTTATTTCTATACTGATACTACCATAACAATTATGTTCATTATAAAACTTAGAACTGCTTAAAACAGAAGGTTGTTGTAAAACGTAATCTAAATAGAAGTTCTTATCATTTCTTCTTGCACATTGGAGACAGCTGTGCTTGAGGGACCACCTGATAATATAATTTTATTCAAAAACATCAAACATAATTTCTGCCCTGGATAAGATACTCATGATCTTCTCTTTAGAATGCCTGTGAATAACATTCTCTACAGGTCAATGAGGCATATAATTCTGAAGTTGCCCATTTCATTCACTACAAAGTTGTATTATACAATCCTGCTAACCACAAAACTGAAGCGGCCAGGCAATGCTCTCACCAGAGGACACTGCAGCCTTGACTCCACACTCAGCACAAGCAGGCTGGCCATCCAAAAGCACACCTGGCATCTCAGGTAGCCCTGCTTCCTTTCCAGACGGGCTCACTTCTATGTACTACAAATCTTCGTACTCTTGAAGCCTCTTATTCAAGAAAGGCTTTGTTACAAAAAGACATTTTTCTTTTTATGTGAATAACATTTAAATCAGTAGACTCAGTAAAGCACACTATCCTCCATATTCTGGTCAAGCCTCATTCAAACAGTAAAAGGCCTTATGAGAAAATACTGGCTCCCCCGGGAAGAAGGAAGAGCGCCCCCAGGCTGCCTTCAGACTCCCTGCAACCTCCACTCTTCCCTGGCTCCCCAACCTGCTGGCCTGCCCTACACATTTCAGGTTTGCTGGCCCCGTAATCACGTGAGCCAGTTCCTTCAAATACAGTCATATACCACTTACGGACTAGGATACGTTTTGAGAAATGGGTCAGTAGGCAATTTCGTGGTGTTTGCTGTGCAAACATCACAGTGGGCACTTACACAAACCTAGAGGGTATAACCTGCTACACACACAGCTATATGGTACAGCCTACTGCTCCTATGCTGTGAGCCTGTTCAGCATGTTACCATGTGAAACAACACGAGATTAAAGCGAGCACAGGAGACATGATGCAATCAGACATGGCAAACACGAGATGTACGAGGCTGCTGCTGGCAAAATGCGGCACACTGCTTCACAGCAAACGTGTCTAATAAGCAGGAAGAGTACACTCTAAAATGACAATAAAACATACAGTGAACACACAAACCGGTAACGGTTGTTTTACTATCCCCGTCAAGTACTACGTAGTGTACTTTTATACAACAGGCAGCGCAGCAGGTCTGTAAGCACCAGCATCACCCCCAACGTGTGACGGATGCGCTGCACTGCGTTATGATGCTACAGCATCACTAGGCAACAAGAACTTTTTAGCTCCTTTAGAATCTAAGGGACCACAGTCACAGATGCTATCCATCATTGACCAAAACACCATTATGTGCCAAATGACTGTACATACTCTCACTGTTAGGTGAGATATATACACACTGTTAGGTGAGAAATATACACACACGTAATTTTTCCCTACTGGTTCTGTTTCTCTGGAGAATTCTGAGTAACACGCTGTCTATAGCTTTTTCAACAATCAACACCACAAGTATTCATTCACTGCTTTTTGATGTGCTAAATCTACTCCTCCTTAGTTATACAAAACCACTACATAAAGTCCAGTCACTAGGTGAAGAATATTCTGCTAAACCTGAAATGATGGGAAATGATGATAAAACAACAAAGAAAAGTCTTTCCAATCAACATACGTAGGTAGGCCAGCACAATGGACGTTCTGCTTTTATAACTGTGGGACCTATGAAATGTAGGACATTTCAGTCCTACGAAAAAAATGACTTCAGGCTGAAGACCCCTTTATAAGATATAACACTTCATAGAAAAGGCTACAGCAAAATTTACTGAATGAAAAATAAGAGAAAATGCTAATAAAAGATGCGAAAAACAACTACCTCTTGGTTATCTTTGTTTTGGTGCGCCCAGAAAATCTTGTGGTAGAGCGTCTCCATGGAGTTGCTGGAGTCGGTCCGGTCAAAGCAGTGTCGGTCCAGCACTTCCAGCGTGTGCAGCGCCCGGCTGATGGTCACGCCTGGACGTGAGAGTGCAGTGAGCCGGTACACAGGCCGAAGGAAGCCAAAGCAGCACAGTACGAAACTCGTTATTATGCAGTGCAAAAAAAATGTTAAGAAATCATTCTCAGCATAGAAGAACTGGCAACAAAACCAAGCCTGACATGCCAGCCAGGATCTTCGGGGCATTAAACTAAAGAACATCCTCAAAATTTATGAGATGGCTTTGTCAAAAAGCACCCTTATTCAACATGTGGATGAATTTGCAAGAATCAGAAGCAAGACATTGAAAGCCCCATACACAAAAGCACTCCTGTCGTGTTCTGTACCTGCTGTTGACTCTTGGCACTTGTCAAAAGACCACCGGACTTCCACTGCACGGCCTCTTTGTTTTATCTGCTGTTCTACCTCGTAAATCCTTGCCCGAACCTGAAAGACAATCACTTCTAATTACCTTGGGCTTGGAAAGCCACCGTGGCTGTCCAAATCATGTCAGGCTTTTCCGCATAAGCAGAGCATCCTACGGTGAACTACAATCGTGACTGCACTGTAGGAAACTCAGCCTGTGGCCCAAGCGTGCGTTTTAAAATTTACGATTGGTGATTCCACGAAAGTTTTCAATAATAAATGCTCACAAAAATAAGCGCCTACAAAATTCTTTGTAAGTGAAAATCTTTTAGGGCATCACATAGAAGGTAAAAGTTCCAAATACCACCTTTGAGCTGTTCTATGTATGGAAGCAACCAGCCATGGTTCATTCATTTAAGACTGCTTGGCAAAAAACAGGGACTTTATTCTAAATATTAGTCACTGCTCTTTGGTTAAAGTTTCTTTACGTCTTTGAACCAAGTAACCCGGCACTAATAAAAACACGTGGTAATTACAAAATATCACAGACTAGTGCTACGAGAGCTGTGCCCATATAGAACCATCACCATAATTGTTGTCTGGGTGGCAGAACTCTTTGCCAAAACTGCCCAGAAAGAAGAGTGCCATGAACTTCTGTGGTGGTTGCAGAGGCTAAATATTTCTCAAGGTCGCCCAGAGTGGGGGAGGGGGGGGCGAAGAGAAGGGAAAGTCACCCAGCACGTGAAATGTTCACATCCACTTGACTCAGTATGCCCTGATACCTCTCAGGAATGAGAACCCCCACCCTGGCCAGTGTGGCTCAGCTGGTTGGAGCACCATCCCGTAAGACAAAAAGGTAGTGGGTTCAATTCCCAGCCAGACCACATGCCTGAGTTGTGGGTTTGGTCTAAGTCGGGGTGCCTGCGAGAGGCAACCAGTAGATGTTTCTCTCTCACATTGCTGTTCCTCTCCCTCTCTCTCTCCTCCCCTTGCCCTCTCTAAATCAATGAGCATATCGTCAGGTGAGGATTAAAATCAATAATAATAATAATAATAATAATAATAACAATAATAATAAATGAGAATCCTCATCAGACCACAACAGAAAGTCTACCTGCTGATTGAAAGCCGTGTTCCCGCCTGGCATGGGGAGGCTGGAGGGGGCCACCGGCAGCAGGTCCAGCGGCGAGCCGGGGTTCGCGCTCTTGCTGTCGTTTGTGGAGTAGTTCCACACCAAGGCACTTGGGCAACAGAGGGTGACAGTCTGACGGTAAACCAGGAGAGTCCGGAGAGTTAGAGAAAAGAAAAGGTGCAACAACTGCTCACAGTAAAAATGACGCCTTGCCTTGACTTTTACAGTTTCTTACCAGAGAGTTTAAAATAAAATATGAATGGCTTACCCCATAATTTTTCAATTGATAAGACAAAACTAAGAATTATTCATTTGAGCCCTGGCTGGTGTAGCTCAGTGGATTGAGCACAGGCCTGAGAACCAGAGGATCTTGGTTCGATTCCCAGTCAGGGCATATTTCTGGGTTGCAGACCAGTTCCCTGCAGGCCAGTTCCCAGCAGGGGACGCACGAAAGGCAACCATACATGGATGTTTCTCTCCCTCTCTCCTTCCCCTCTAAAGATAAATAAATAAATAAAATCTTAAAAAAAAAAAAAAGAATTATTCATTTGAAAGGCAGGAAGTACAACTATTGAGAAAGTATAACTATCCAGTATAGGAAACCAAGGAAACAATAAAAATGAAGGATCATCACTTAAAACAATTTTTTCATCAAATTAAAAAATGAGATGGAATTAAATATGTAATTTCTAAGATTATAAACTCTAAAAAAGAAATTATTTTTATTTTTATTTTTTTACTATTTCAAATAATGGTACAGCAAGTAGCTTCATAGATGCTGGGCGGGGAGTAATCTGAACTAGCAGTCAGCACATTTTTTCTGTAAAAAGCCAGATAGTAAATGTTTTAAGATTTTCAGTTCATCTATAGTTTCTGTCACATAGTCCTCTTTTTTTTTTTTTTTTTTTTTTGCTTTAATAACTCATTGAAGAAATAAAGCCCATCATGGCTGGTGGGCTGCACCTGGCCCACAGACCGCAGCTCATCTACCCCGGCTGCGACCCTTACAGGCCGGTTCTACTGGACCAGCCTATGTGCCACCTTTCTAGGACCGCCTTACTGGTGCGTCACAACAAGCCCCTGAGGCAGGTGCTGTTATTCCCCGACTCCACACAAGAGGACGATGAGACAGAAGGACCACAAACAGGCCCAAACTGATTTCAGCGCCCATGCTTGGAACCAGCATGACTAGCACGGTGGTGAGTCTCTGTACCCTCCGGCGTGGCTGTCTCCGCGGGCGCACATCCCTGCCCCCTTCCTCCCGTCTGTGGCCACGGGGTGCTCGTCTCCCGTCCACAGCGGGGCTCTTCCCCCTGTGCTTCATTCCATAGCTCCCCACGGCCAGGACACGGGTCAATCGAACACCCCTCTGCTCCTGTTCTCGACTCTCTCTCTACTAGTCTACCCTTAGCTTAGAAATAGGTTCAAACCTGCCCGTCAAAAGTAAACTTAAAAAAAAATCCCCATTTACCCCAGCAGCGATTTCTCTCTCTTCCCTTCATTCTGCACCACTGGTCAACCCACCTTACTCTGACTTTTCACCCAACACCCAAATGATGATCAGCAATGACACAACCATACTGTCACAGACAAGTCGGCCACCTTCTTACCAAACTTCCCCAATCCCCTGGGCACTGCCCACCACTAACTACTTATGGGAACTTTCTGCGGCACCTCAAGAAGCAGCTTCGTGTGGTTGTTAAGAGTATGGACTCTGGACCCAGGCAGTCTGGGTTTGAATTTCGCCATTTCGCCATTAGCGTTACAAAAAGAATACTAGTAACTGAAAATGTGTTACAACTTAGAACAGTGCCTAGAACATAATGAATGCTATTAAAATAACAGACTTAACAGCACTGTCCGCACTCTCGTCGTCTCTGTCTCTGTAATAATACTCTCTCCCCTCTGCCAGCCTTTCCCGCGTGGTCCCTCTGCCGCCTCTCACCCCCCGCCCGTCAGGGCCACGGGTCCCCTCTTGCTGCCGACCTTTGAGGTACCCTCAACCCTCCCAGACTCCTGACCAGCTAAAGGGCCACAAGTGAGTCAAATCCACACATTAGCCAGTTGTTTGCCCTCATCTTCAGGATGAGACATGCAACACCTCTTGAAAATGTCTACTTGGAGATCCTAAAGGATAAAAAGAGTCCAAAATTGAACTCACCTAGACTCTTAAAACTTATTTCTTCACCTTGTCTCTCTCTACCCTACCTCCCCACTCCCACAAGTCATCCTGCTACTGTGGTTAAACAATCTAACTAACCCACACAGCTGACCGTGTCACTTCCATGCATAAGGTCCTTCAATGACATCCCATCAGAAGGCACACAGGGGTCTTCTGTGCCCTGACCACCAACAGACTTCATGCTCTGTGTCCCACTAACACCAACCTGCGCACAGGAGGAGCGATCGGCCCTCTAGGCCCTGGCCCATGCTGCCAGCTCTGCCAGGAAGACTCTACACCTTTTCTTTTTAACTCATATTGTAAGCATCAATCAGGATCACACCTTCAGAAAGCTTCCTTGAATTCTGGGTGGGACCGGAAATCCTACTTCTCACCTGCCTTAGCTCCCTGTGCACGCCCCCGGCAGCCCTTATCAGGGGGCACAAAAGCTGCCCATTTGTAAGTCTGTCTTCCTGACAAAGCAGTAAATCCCACCCTGTCTTCATGGCAAGGCCTGTCTCTAAGCCTCTTAGCAAAGAGACCCAAACTGTGACCTGAACACTGACCTGTGAGCTTCCCCAGGGCAGGGCTGCATCTCGCTCCGCACTGCCAGCCCAGCGGCTGGCATGCTGTGGACGGTCATGAGCTGCACCAACGGTAATGCTCGGCACATGAACAGAGTGTGACAAACTGGAAAAGGCAACCAACTCTAGATGTAAACTGAGGAAGCTAAAGAATGGTGATGAAGAAGCTGATCTTCCAGAAGAACAGTAACACAGATGACTCATTCTATGAATTCCCTCCAGAATTTTTAATCATTGAACTACTAATGGCTTTGACAAAGAACAACTACAGGAACTTTCTTCGAGACTAAAGCAACTAATCTTCCCTTAGCCTGATTTAACACAAGAAATAAAACCTGAAATCTCCATCTATTAATTACTTGGTTATGGAAAAAACTGGAGCCGTGATGTGAACGCTGAGGATGTGGCTCCCAGCACAATTATTTCCTACGTGGGAATTTAATATAAAGTAAGCAGGTCCGAGGACTTACCTGCAACATACAACTCAGCCCATAAACCAGGGGGCCGTGCTGTGCACAAGAAAGGAAGTCTGAGAAGGCCAGCTGCACGGGGCTCACGCCGGGGCCGGGGGCGCCGGGGCTGGGGGCCCCGATGCTCGAGCTGTTTGGTCCTATCATCATGTGGGGCGAGTGGGCAGCGAGGAGGCTGGGGCTGTCACTCAGCAGCAAGGCGAGACGCCGGGCACAGAAGTAGGCAAGACGACGAGACAGGTAGGCCGACTGAACAAACTCATCCGAATACTGGGGAGCACAAGGGCACCAGACTTCAGTCATGACTGGTGAAATAGCTCTTTTAACATGCGCATTTTTTAAATTTTATTTAGTTATTATTCAAGTATAGTTTTCTATTTCTCCCATCCCAGCCCACCCCGCCCCGTGCTCCCCACCTCCCTCCCATTTCCACCCCCCTTAGCTCTCATCCCTGTGTCCTTCCTATTTGTTCCTCCAAATCCCTCCCCTTTTTCCCCTTAACTTCCCTTCCCTCTCCCCTCTGGTCATTTTTTGATCAGAATAAAAACCTTCAAAGGTACTGTATAGGCCCAGTGCTGTGCAAAAGAAACATAGCCAAGCCATATAATGTAATTTTAAAATGTTTTTAGCCATTTAAAAAACAAAGGTCAAATTAAAAGAATAATATATTTTATTTATCTTCATAGAGCCAAAATGTTATCTTTTCAGCCCGTAATCAAAACAAGAAGTACCGAGACATTATGCATGCTCTTGCTTCTGCATGAAGCCTGAAATCTGGTGTGTATTTGTCAGTAAGAACACACCGCAAGCTGTCCTTGTCACAGCCCGACAGCTCAACAGCCACACCTGGCTGGCGGCGGCTGCCACGGCAGCACCTCCCAGGGAGGGCGCCCAGGACGCTGGCGCGGCGCAGACTCTGACGGGCTGCACTGAGGTGAGAAACGGCAGTACTTCCCATCACAGACTTCTCTGTAGTGTCTGAATAATCAAATACATGTACTACCTTTCCAAAGTAAATTTTTAAAGAAATTTCATCCACATAACCTAAATTTTAACAGACTTTAAGCCAATCATTAAAATAGGAAGTTCCCATCCCCAGTGGCTCAAAAAGTATCAAACGAATGCAGAGGATCCTCTGTAACCTTAAAAAGAGATGATCTGTTTTGTTTCCACAGGAATCAGTGTGAACAAGGAGACCGTACTTAAAGGGCTGTTCGCGTAGCTCGGTGGCGGGAGAAATCCATGTGGGTGAGGACACTTAAAAAGGGCAGATCGCACTCCGAACGTGGCCAGTGCAGACGGCCGCTAAAACTTAAGAAGCCTCTTACACCTCGTGTATTGTAGCATCAAGATACTTTTGCTTTCTGTTTCAAAATGAAAACTTTTCCTCTTCCATCTCTACTTACTTAACCATCCTTACCAGATTCATGTCTTGCCCATAAAATCAACTGGCTCACGGTTACACGCACTGTACCTGCAGCATCAGCGGTAATAACAGTTTCAGAAGGTCATCATCCATTGGTCTGATCTTTTCTAAAACATCCAAGATCCACGTCAAATACTCATGTTTTTCTAGCATTCCTTCCTTAAATGAACACAGAACAATTACAATAATAATGTTAAAGCAAGAAGCACTCTTATTCTTATGCTTAAGCATCATTCTACTATTATCGTTCCTGTTGCTGTAGAACTCATTAATCACGGCCCAAATTCTAGACAGAAAAAACTAATAAATATTACTTTATGTGGTTGGTTTGGGTATTTTGTTGTTGCTGTCGTTGTTGTTTTTGGTTTTTGGTAATCTGCTTCATTCTAATTTTTTTTTTTTTTTTAATTCTTACAAGAAAGAACGTTCAAAAGACTCCCAGGCACAGACAGCCCCTGGCGACACTGCAGAGGTGTACGAACTCAGTCCTACTCACAGGAGGAAACCTGGCCGGTGGCGACAAGTACAAAGAACCAAAGCAACAGAAGCGCCCATCGCATCATTATCTGTACCCCATCATCAGAAGTTGACAACCCCGTCAGAACCAATGCTCCTTATACTCTCCTCTGTGCTAAAGGAAAATTCAGATACTATAACCTACTTGTAAAACATATCCTTAGAAATATAATGGTATAACTACTATAATATAAATAAAATGAATTTATAATATAATACTATAATGTACAAATATTCCAGTATAACTACTAAAAAATGATAACACGCCTGCAAATTTCCAAAATGCCCCATAGGGGTGATACGGACCCTAGACACAAGCCCTCCTAACGTTTTTCATCGACCGCCCGCCCCCACATGCGTACACACAAGTGTGCACGTCATTTCATGACAGCCGCTGCAAGTCACATTTGATGTCACAGTATAGTTCTGTATTATGATTCACATCATGAAAGCAACTTCAAGATGGAAACAAAAAGCTATTTTTTCTGGGAAGGACACATACTTTCATGGTCACTAGGGTAACAACCTCAGCAGTTAATATGAATTCCTACTTATTAAGAGTGTGGACTCTGGACCCAGGCAGTCTGGGTTTGAATTCCACCATTCCTGGCAACTTTTGCAGATCTGTGTATGACCAGTGGTCCATGACCATCGTTCCCAACAATCTGTATAAAATACTGTACCGATAAATTACTGTATTTATAAGATTACAAAGGTACCACATTGACATGATACCAAGATAGTTACTTGTTGCTAATTTCTAATTTTTTAAATACTATAAGTCAAAAAGAGTTAAAGGGTTAGTTACAGAAAAACCGTAATTTAAAACTCTCGAACCAGTAAAGTGAACTTGAACTTAATAAAGAGATAAGTGAAGTGGAATCCTGCACTAGGGTGTAAGAGATGGGGAATGCAACACTCAAAACAAAGGGGCCTTCACAAGCACGGCTGCCAATGGCTGCACCGCAGCCCACCCTCCAGGGCCTGGGCTCCAGACCCACGCCCGTGTTTCTGCACAGGGCTGTCTGCACGTGTACATACGAGGGGCAGTTTCACATTCCGGAACATGGCAATTCAAAAATATAATATACTTTTAAATTGTAGTATTAATGTTCCAATTAGATTCCAATCAGTTTATGGCCTAGTTGCTTCTTATAAAAGACACACTGATTTCAATGTCCTATTACATAAAGAAATCCTTCAAAAGGCATTAAGTATGGTAAGACACTTTTTAAAAGATGCAGACTAAATTCTCAGCTCAATGAAAGTCATAAAAGCTCAGTAGCAGACTACACTGAATTAGACCAGCTAATAAATGGAGTGAGGATTTGTAAAGAGTTGTGTTAACTGATTTTAACAATGCTACTTTGCAAAAGAACCATGCTTTTTCCTACTTTGAGCTCTTAGGAGAAAATCACAAGCTGGAAATTATAATTAAAGTTCTAAGGGGAAAAGTTAGAAGCCACACACTCTTTCTAATACCCCTCCTCTTTGGTCAAGATAGCAAGAAATGAAAAGTCTATACTCTAGCAACACAGTTTCAGCAGAATACACACACTTCCTCCTTGCCAGCAGTAAAGACAGAAGCAACTCACAGCACACGCGCCCTCTTCTGGTCAATACGACTCACATCAGCTTGTCTGGGTGGCAGTTCAGTCATGCCTCAGTGCCCTCGCATGGCCCCTCAACTGCATTTTAAACTGCAGCTTAACCAAATGAAAATGACCTAACTTTGGAATAACTAAACTCTAAAGGGTATCTATTCTGAGACATCCGTACAAAGCTTTTTGAATGAATACATCTAATTTTTGCAAAATAAAAGGCTGAAGGGGATTATATTAATAGTACATTCAAAGAGCTGACATTATTAAAGCTGGAGATCAATATGCGTAATAAGGCGCCACTGACTCAGGGCAAAGGTGTTGCTTTCAATCTAATTTGATGTGAGAAATGTCGGATTGCTTCCTTTGAATGCAGAGATACAATTTAACCCCCAGGAAACTAAACCATAAGGAATCTGCTCTCCTCTTAAGAGAATGCTACAGAGACAGTCTGGGCGAGGCTACCTGGAACATGTGAAAGGCCAGCTTCGCGTTGTACTCCCACTGCTTCAGCGCCTGCTCCACGTCGGCCGGCACAGGAACTGGGCCGTGGCTCACGCTGGAAGCCACGTGGTAAAAGTCGGAGATCTTGGCCAGTTGCTCTCGGAGATACCTGGTAGATATTTGTGTCCACTCTGCATTTTTTTAAAGAAATAGTATGAGAATTAACTTTCTCCCCCACTTCCTGATCATCATAAGGATGGACTTACAAAACAAATGACATAAAAAAGGCTTCTGCACGTGAAAGTGCTGTTCAGAAAGGCTTGTGCTCCCCAAAGCCCTTCGGCAACACACGCCGGTGTGCCACGGCCTGCCCCCCACAGCCCGAGGGGATCTGGCCAGCTCTGAGTGGAGAAGGCAGCTCTCCTCTGTGCTCTGCGACCCCCTACCCAGGAGAAGGCAGCTACACTCAAATTAGGTGCATCAGGGGATCCTCCACGTTAAACAACAGTTAGCATAACAAAAATATCAAAGGCACAAGCAGGGAACAGAACAGCAGAGGTGAGCACTTCAAGACAGCTTAACCCTATACCAAACGAATTCAAAATCCCACAAGTGCAGCTCTCTGAGAGTATGTTTTCAGAGTCCAAGTCTCAAACACGCCTAATTAAGACTCGTTCTGTGACTGACAATCTGTGAGTGGACTGGCATTCAAGGGGGACCGGCCTGTGAGCAGCCCTGACACAGAGCAGCTGCCCCCTCCCCTCGACCGACAGGAGGCGCCGCAGCCTGCCATCCACGGGAGTGGTGGGCAACAACAGGCAGGGACTGAGAAGGAAACAGAAGCGGCAGCATAAAAAAACCACTGAAATTATTCAAAAACGTCTGCCACAGGGGCACAAATTTAATCAGTGTGTTGCCTCTGGCAACCATGAGGGATGAGATGCCAACTTTAGCCCATTCTGTGGATAAAAATGTAATAACTGCATGCTCACAGCCAAATTTCCCCAAGGATTAGCCCCACAGCATTTCAGGAGAAACCATCTTATTGAAACATTACCACGCGATGCTGTTTTCCTATTACTGGGCAACGGGTACTTCCACCTTATTTTAAAGGAAGCTATGGTGACGAAAGTATAAGCAGACACTAAACATCTGTTAGGGATTGAGCACTTTGTTCTTCCTTGTTAAATACTGTTAAAATTATTTCAAAACAGTACCCAGAGATAACTACTGTTAAGTTGTAGTTTAAACCACTTATTCTAATTGTATCTTATTTAAAATTCAAATTCAATGCACATGTTAAACTCCAATAATAAGCCAATGCAAAAAGATGAACAGATGCTAGGTCAACATTCGCCACCAATAACAGATATTATCATTAAAACGAACCCACTGGAATTAGAAGAGTAAATTATCAATGTCATCATCTTCTGGTGCCCCTGATAATGGACTAACAGTCTCATGATACTTGTTTGGCAAACAAAATGCCAACCGTCCGATGAGGTGAGTTTAGCTGAGCTATAATGAGCAAAACCAAAAATAACAAGGACCCAAATCCTAGTCTGAGTGCCAAGCCTTGCCATTAGCTCACTCTCAGTATGGTACTGTTCTCAATATCCCCACAGAATATTTTAGTCTCAAGAGCTAAAAATACAGCACACATTCACACACCCCTACTTTGTCAAGAATATATGTTCTTTTTAAGGGTTTTTTTTTTAACGCAGAAGAAACACATGGTCACTATAGGAAATGTGTTGTGCAAATATGAAAACAAAAAATCTGTGACCCCATCACTCATAATCATTAAATATTTTAATATATAACCTTTTGGTCTTTATGTGCACTTGACTGTTGATACAAACATGTAACATGTTTTTTTAAAAACTTGCTGAATAGAACTGTTCCACAGTCTCCACTCCTTTTGAACCTCCCATGGAACTCAAAGGCAGTGCTCTTACTAGTGTTTGAATTTGAACTGTACTCAACTGACAGACTGTATCAGGCAGACAGATTCACAGGTCTGAGACGTAAGACAGTCTAGAGCGGACTAGTATAAAAAATCAGGACGCACTCAGAATTTTCATTAGAAACTGAAAACAGAAAACACATGTCCACTGGTGCTGTGCTCCTTGAACATCATACTGGGTTGGCCAAAAAGTCCATACGGGTTTTTTCAGTAAAATAAAAGACACATGTTTCATTTCCATCAGTATCTTTATATATTTAGGTATTTTGAGTATGTCAGCTATCTTCCACATGGTATAACACTGATTGTTCTCATAATGTCTTGATTTGATCCACCATCTAATTCAACAGGTCTACCTGACCGTGGAGCATCTCCAGCGAGAAATCTCCAGCATGAAACTTTGCAAACCACTTCTGACATCTGATCAGTCACAGCACCTTCTCCATACACTGCACAAACCTTTTTTGCATTTCAGCTGTGTTTTTACCTTTCTTGAAATAATAAAGCATAATATGCTGAAAATGTTGCGTATTTTCTTCCACCTTCAATATTAAAATGGCTACACAAAAGTTTACCCATTTTCGTAAGTTTTTTTAATACACACTGATATGAGAGCTGTCATAATACAAGCTAACAAAATTGTTTCAAATGAACTTAAAGACAACTAAGTGCTGCTAGAGGCGTTTCACAGAAAAAAACAAACTTTTGGCCACCCCAATATTAGGATGTGCCGCCCTCTCGTGCTTACTTAGGACTGGTCATCGTAGGGAGCAACAGGGCAGTCAGCAGCAGTGGCAAAGACAGGCACTGGTCTCGGCCCTGAGTATAAAAACCCCCACGAAGGGAGCTTACACCAAATGCCAGTGCCTTCAGCCCCACCTGCCAGATTCTGATGTAACTGGTCTCGAGTGGGAGGCCCAGTTTCCAGGTGGTGAAGGAAAACAGGACTCAAGAGCAATTACAGGGAAGCTGGGTGGCAGAATGGGGTTCCAAGGTAAAAAGATGCGGAAAGTGACCTATGAGGCTACTCTGAAAATGAGGCAGTTCTAAATCCCAGCACTTGGAGCCTTTGCACACATCTGCAGCTCCTGGGTGACCAGGAGAACCTGCGGTCCGTGACGCCACATTTGCAGAAAGTTTATGAGTGTGAATGTCACTGAGAGAGGGGTCAGGACTGAGTAAAATGTCCGGTCCTTTCAACAATGCTCTCCCTAGCATCCAAAAATCCAACAGCCACTGTTTCTTCTCTGTTAATGTCTAACTCCCAAAACAGAAAGGGTTTCAGAGGTCATGCAGTTCACGCCCCCCTTCACAGACCCAGGCACAGTCAGCTCACCCAAGGTGACGCAGCTAGCCCAGAGGTACACAAACAGGTGCGAGATGCCCCACTCTGGTACATGAAAACACAGTGGGGAGAAGAGGGCCGGGTCACCTTAAACGAGCCCCCTGGGCCTGGAACACCTGCAGTATTAATAAGAGGATGGGAGTCAGCAGAGGAGGCGCAGGCCAGTGCAAAAGGCTCCGGGAGAGGACGTCCTGCGGTGCAACGAGGCAGAGAAGCAACAGAGACCACATTCGGCAGTCCTGGTGGAATGAGCTGGGAACAGGATGGCCCTGAATCCACACCCCGGTTCGGCCACTCAGCCACGTGACCTGGAGCAACAGCTCTAACCTCTGCTGACTCTCCCTTTCCTCATCTTCACAATACAGATCAATATAATATATAAACATCGAATGACTGACTATAAGGATGAGTTAGTTAGCACCATGCATGCACTACAGACATTGATCAGTAAGTGGTAGCTATGATCCTCATTATCAGGACGAAAAGTTTGGGGAAAGAAAACTAAAGGTCAAGGCCCTCACTGGTGAGGACAGCACCTGCTGCCCTCAATGTCAATCCCTACTCTGCCTCAGCTGAGTGGCCAGTGCCCAGAGTCCTGCACAAGCATTTATAGCATCGGCATCAGTGTCCTGCTTCCAAACCCTTCCGTGGACCAGCAAGCCTTACTGACTTAAAGGCCAAACTCCTTGTCTAGGAATTAAACCACTTCAAATACTGCCCACCACCCAGCATTGTGTCCTCCACCAGCTCACACTGCTTTCTGACTCTCCTGCGTATGATGCAATCTCTACCTACAATACCTTCTCTACTCACATGTGCTCACGTGTGAGTTTTTCTGGGCCCGATACAAGTGCCACATCTAACATGCAGCCTTCTCTGGTCTCTGGACACCACCCCACCACGTAGCAGGGGTTCTCTTTCTTCCCCCACTCTCACCCCCCATCCAACTGACGGTTAGAATTTCCTCCATCTCTCTCTTTTATCCCCATAAAACGATGCCTTACTCAGTCACCATTAAGCATGGACTTGAATCAATGCACCCCAAGTTTCTCTGAGAATAAGCATTAACCAAGTTCTTCCCAATTATTCTGCCTCTCAAATCTTCACACGAACATATTGCTTTCTAGCTTAAATTCATCATTGCACAACTTAAAGGTTTCAAAATTCACTACAGGGAAAATGCCAAATTCCTCTCTAATACAATGTTTATTATAACCAACTCACCTACAAGCACCTGCTAATCAGGGTGCTACGAAGGGCCATGCAAATACTAAACTTTCAATTATTTTTTATGAACTTAAATATATTTTGTGGAGGTTCATTTTCTGGCTACCTTCTTCCACATTATCGAAACCAGTGAGAACTCACTCAGGGGTGTCCAACCATTTGGCTTCCCTGGGCCACACTGAAAGAAAAACAGTTGTCTTGGGCCACAGATTAAAATACACAAACACTAATACAAACAGATTAACACACACAAAAAAAGGTTTTCAGTGAATTTACAGTTTTGTGTTGGGCCGCATTCATAGCCTTCCTGGGACACATGCAGCCCGAGGGGTGAAGGCTGGACGCCCCTGCATGTGAAATAAATACAACGGTGATCGTTGTCTTTGAAACCTCCCACCGAGCCCAGAGACTAAAACACATCTTCAAGGCGATCCACTCGCTACAGCACTTCGAGTCAAAGGGGACGTGCTCCTCCAGGGAGAATCCTGTGTCCATTAGCCACCAGGGGAAACTCTTCCTGAGGATGTACCACCTGCAATAAAAGTTTTAGCCTCTCGACAATGAGAAAGGCCCACTTCTCAAAACTGCAGGATATACAGATTTTTTAATTTATTTTTTATTGATTATGCTATTAATAATTGTAGCAATTCCCC